CAGATTTTTATACGTCACAACAGCAGGTATCAAGTTCCATTTGGCAGCTGTGAAATGTTGCCCCGTACTTCACTTTTGTGTTGTTATATTTTTCTGGTCCTTCGGGATCATTGATGCCAGCACTATTAAGTGTTGAGAATTGAGGACCGCTCAAGCCGGTGCTAGGGGCGTGAGGGATTTTGCACTTATTCATTATCACTCATGAAAAGGGTCAATCAAACCGAGTCTGCGCTTTTCATGAAATTTTGTTGCGATAATCAATGATTATAAACATTCAATAAAATATTTTTTGATCACTTGAAACAAACCATTCCAAATAGCCAAACAATGATCATTATGTTGGTTTTTATTTGTTTGGATCGTCAGACCAAACAAATAATGGTAGCGAAATTTCAGACTCTGATGCTGTTAATTACAAATGCCGAAAGTAGTCTGCTTTTTTGAAGCGATTACTTCCCTTTATATGTACACTAACGCCGAAAAATTCAGGGGAGATCACTGCGTAAAGATTGTCAAATGACAGGCGCATTAATTTTCAAGCAAAATAGTTTCCGAATGGTCGAAGATTTCTTATATTGTTTCATTCTTTATAGATATACATGCTTATAGTAAGCTCCATGATTATTTACATGTACATCAGGTAATAAGATTTACAAACCCTAATTTAGAATAATATGGTTTTCTTCAGGCCGTTTACATATAACTTCACCGAGGCCGAGGGTGACCGAGGCCGATGGGTTTTCAAATCAAATCAAATCAAATCAAAATTTATTTATTGTCGGTATACATATATAACATTTTACAAAACATAACCTATGTATAGCTTTTGACCGACATACATGCATAATGATATAAACATAAAACTCATAAAAGAAGCACATTAAGATAAACTTTGAAAGACAAATGGTAAAAGACAAGTTAAGTTACTATAATATGGGATGTAGACACTAAATGTTATAATTTAAAATAAAATAATGATAATTAATAAATAGTAATGATATGCTAAGGATATGCTTAAAAGTTCTATACTGTATCATAAGTGAATAAAATAATATATATCTAGATAAAATGCGGAACATATTAGCACATACATAAAATAAGATTACATTAAAAGTGGGTGGTGGATACTGCTGATCTTGACCCAGGCCTAGCCTGGACTGCTATAAAAGAAAGGAAATACGATATTGAAAATGAAAAGGATCACAAAACTGTTACCACTAATTAGGTTTTATAAATAAAAATCCCCAATTCAAAATTTGCAAGAAGTGATCAGCAGCCTCCTCAAAAAGCAAACTTCGCAAAAAGCTGACAATAAGCAAACAAAAATTTAAGCATACTGGAAAAATAATACATGTACATAATCACTTATGTTGAGAATATTAACAAAATTTAAGCCAAATGTGAAATAAACAGATACATGTAAGTAAGCAGCAAAACAAAAGAAAGCAGGCAAGAAACAAAACTGAAGATGGAGCTAAACTATAATGCAGGTTTATTGACAGAAAGTACATGAGCAACTCTCTCCATTCCATGCACCAATTAAACTTTTAAATTGGTCATAATTCACTTCCATTCTGAGGTGTTGAGGAAGTGAATTCCATAGTTTTAGGTGCATAGGAACGAAAAGAGTTGCTGCCATAACTGGTGGTTCTTATCTGAGGGATAATTGCTACATTTTTATACCTAAAATTAAAAGAATGAGATTTTATATTAACAAGATCATGTAAGTATGTTGGTCCTTGTTTATGAATAATTTTATGAATTTCGAGGGCTATAGTTCTGATTCGTCTTAATTTTAAATTTGGTAGTTTAGATTTTATTAAAAGTGAGTCATAGTCTGATTGATAGTCATCATAAATGAATCTTAATGCTCTTTCTTGAATTTTCTCTAGTTTTTTTTGTGTACTTTTCTCCACAGAAGTGCCAGGTGACAGGGCAGTAATTAAAGTTTGATAGTATAAAAGAATAATATATGTTCAATTTCCCCGATTTACATAAATTTTACCTATTCTCTTTAGCACGTTTAGTTGTTTTGAGGCTTTTTTACAGATATCAGAAATATGATTATCAAATTTGAGTTTAAAATCAAAAGTTACCCCAAGAAGTTTAACAGATTCTTCACAGTGGATTGTACTATCATTTAAATTGAAACTAATATTTTGATCCCTAGTTTTTTACCAATAGCAATAGCCTGGAATTTGTCGGGGTTTGCTTTCATATGATTGTCCGAAAACCATTGTATTAATGACTGACTATCTGACTCTAAAGATTCAACAACATTGTCAATGTTTGTGTCACTGCATGATAAAGTGTTGTCGTCTGCATAATTATAAAGATCACATTTGTGTACAAAATCAAAAATGTCATTTAAAAATATGTTAAATAATACAGGGCCTAGAATAGAACCTTGAGGAACCCCTTTATAAATATCTTTGAAAGAACTTAAATTAGATCCAAGTTTGACGCATTGTTTCCTATTTGTTAAATAATTAGTTAATAAATCTAGGGCATGGTCGGAGACCCCATAACATCTAAGTTTCATGAGAAGGAGGTCATGGGGTAGGCAGTCAAAGGCTTTTGACAAATCCATTAAAATAGCTGCTATGTATTTGTTTTCATCCAGTGATCTTTTCCAGTCTTCAGTAATTTTAAGTAGAGTGCTTTGACAGCCGTAACCTGGTCTAAAAGCAGATAAGTAAGTATTAAAATGGTCATTGAAAAAGTCAGTTAGTTGGGTATTAATAGACCTTTCGAAGATTTTAGATAAAATTGGAAGGATACTAACAGGTCTGTAATTACCTTTATCTAGAGTACTATTTTTCTTATGGACCGGAACTGCCTGAGCTATTTTAAGACTATCAGGAAAGATGGATGACTGGAAACTCAGATTAACCATATTAGTAATATGTTCCACGACTGAAGGTTTAGAAAATTTTAAAAGTTTAGCAGATATGCCATCTTGACCAGTTGCTTTTTTAGATGATAATTTATCAATCTGTTTACTAATAAAGGAGTTATTTACAGGTTGAAAATTGAGTTGTTTATCAGATTTAAGATTACTTCTTATAAAATTAAGGCTAGGGTGATTGTTGTTGATTGGTATTGAGTCTGCACCAATGTCCTTAGCAACATGTACATAAAATTCATTAAAAATATCACACACCTGGGACTGATCACTTAATTACTAGAATATTATTTTCACATAAAATCATGTCCTTTTTTACAATAGTACCTTTATTTGTTAAAAATGGTTTAACAGTAGGCCAAAATGATTTATTTTTACATCCACCTACACATCTCTCTAAAAAATATTTATTTATTGATTTTCTTTTAATGCTTGTGACAAGATTTCTTTGTTTACGGTATTTTTCCCAGTTCTTTGATGTTTTGTATTTATTATATGTATTTTGTAACATGCGTTTCTTATAAATAGCTTGTTTTAAGGTTTTATTCATATATGGTACTGTCTGGTCCATTGAACGTTTACGTTTTAAAGGGGCGTGTTTGTCTGTGACTTCCATAAAAGTTTTGCTAAAATTTGTGTATGCCTCGTTTACATTTACAGTGTTCTGGTTAAAGTTTGATAAATTAGTCTGTAAATCCTCATTAAAATTTTCAATGTCAAAATTTTTAAAAGATCTATAATTAATCCAGTTTGGTTTTTTACTTTTAGTTTCATCTTTTAGCTGAAATGCAATCAGATTGTGTACATCACTCAGTCCACAATTAAAATTACATATTTTCCCAAAAGAAGAATTGCTATTAGTTAAAATCACATCCAGCAGTGATGGTATACCATTTTTAGTAAAGCAGGTAGCCTTCTTAATTAGACTCGATAAGTTAAAAACATCAATAATATCGTTTAAAGGAGCACATTTGGTTGGATCAAGTAAATCAAAATTTAAATCACGTAGTAAGACATATTCATCATACTTAGAACTACATTTATCTAGAGTTGTCATGCAGTTTTGTTCGAAAGTTTCATTTGACATAGATGGGGGTTTATATGCACCCATTAAAAGCCATTTCTTTTTATTTAAGATTACCTCTATGAATATAGATTCTATATCTGTAAATTCGAGATTTGATTTTCTATTTCCAGCTAGTTCTGACCTTAAGTACACTGCAATCCCACCACCTTTGTCATTTCTGTCTGCTCGCCATAAGTGATATCCGTTAACCTGCCATTGTGCATCCGGGAAAGAACCATCTAGTTTTGTTTCTGCAATAAATAGAATATCAACAATATTTCTAATAAGAATTTCTTTTAAAAAGTCGAATTTGTTCCTTAAACTATTAATATTTATATATGCACATGTGAATTTATTTGGACTTTCTTTTTTAATATTTATAAGTTCATCAAAAATAGCTGGAATGTCATTGTCTTCGCAATCCGATTGAATTGAAGAGTCTACAGTATGCTGATGTTCGGTTCGAAATATGAGTCACTAAAATGAAACGTGCTACAATTTCTGCACAACCAGGGTTCATCGTTGTTACTTAGTTTGACGTATTCACTTGCTGAGATAGTAGCACATTTGATGTGCCACCATAAGTAGCATGCCTCGCAGTACACTGCACGGTGGTTTGAAGCTACAGGCCTGTAGCAGCCTCCACAGGGAAATTTAATGGGCCCTGGGTTAAGGGCAATGTCTCCAGAAAGCTGAATTATCAATATTTTTACACAAAAACGCTCGCTTAGGAATCGAGAGGTCTGGAGTTCAAATCCCAGTTAAGGTAAACTCATTTTTTAAAAATTGTTTAAGTCCAATAAACATTGAATTGAATATCAGTGTTGCAATTAGTCTTATAGCCAATTTACTACATTTAATCACTGGAAAGCATTGTTGGCACTATACAAAAACAAATTGGTTTATAATCACACAACCTTCTAATCACACAACCTTCACCTTTCTGACATTCTGAGACCCAAACAAATTTAGCGCCTTCTGTGCTTTGATTTTAACTCGGTTTTTGGTAGTTTTTAGACTTTCTGTTTGTTTTTCTAAGAATATCACAGTCCATTATTTGTTGACATTTCGCCGGACCGCGAAATAATTAAAAAATAAAATGGACTAAACAGCCGACTGTCATATCATTTATTTTGCAATGGTATGATAACATGTATAATTATTATTTTATTTAGTTGCATCTGTCACTTTTACGCTGCTAAGACAGATGTAACTCGTTTGGTTTGTTTTGTGTCGCGAAAATAAGTGACAAACCATATTTTATCGCAACTTGTAGAATACTTACTAAATTTAAAGTTATTTATTTAATTTTTAAAGGTATACTTACTGTTTTAAGTGAGGACAGTGCATATCTGCTATGTTTTTAATAACTCTGGTACATGTAAAAGTGTAGTAGTAACCGGATATATGCAGTTTAGCTTTGATAGCAGGGTCAAAATTTCTCCCTCCAACTGATTTAGGGAGAAGTGAGTAGACTTGAGGAAGAAGTTGGGAGACATGTTAGGTGCTATCTGGGGAATAATAAGCTAGGAAACTTTACCATACAAGACATAAAAAACACCTCAAATAAAACAATTCTATTTTCGAATCTACTTTTCATAAATGTATATACCAATAACAAACACAATATTTACATATATTGTATGCATGTATTGAGTATGTTTAGTTGGTAACAATATTCACAGTAGATAGAGCAATTGGCAGAGTCAGACTGGTCATTGTCTATAGCTTTCGTTAAGCGATTTGCCCACAAGCAAGGATGTTAGAGACATTTAATTTATTATAATCAGAGTGTTAACTTTACGGAGTTCAATGTATTAATAAATTAATTGATATAAATTTTCACATAATTTCTACAAATTTGTGCTTCGAAAGTTTTTAACAATCAAGTTTTAGAACATATTCACACCTTTAACCCTTTCCCCCATGAGCATATTGTGAAAAATGGCCATTTTCACTGAAAAGCCTCCTCTTACAAGTTCAAACTGCTATGAAACTATGAAAAATGCTTCAATACTAATCAAACTTGGCACAAATGTTGACTGGACCATTGCTTTTTTAACGACATGCTCAGTCTTAAATTTCCTGTTACCATGGCAACGAGGGGACAGCTCAAAATTGCCAAAAATCACAATTTGGCCTCGATTTTTCCCCATCAAAATTTATTTCAAAGTGCTGCAACTTCTCAAGGGATTGAGATAGAGTCAAAGGCTTTTTTTTAGCGTTGGTTACACGTTACCTTATGATCGACCTGGGGTCATTTTAAGCCTCTCACAAGTCCAAAAATTTCTTGGCGAACATATGTTTGGGGCCCAAATAGGACATTTTTTCACTATTTCAGGTCTAAAAAAAGGGGGGGGGGCGTCGAAAGTGTGTTGTTTCGCGTATATATGAGGTAAAGGGTTAAGACGTTGGGCATTGTTTATCTTTACTCGCCAAAACACCGCAACAATTATCAACAATTATGTATATGCAGGTGACTTTAATCATGTTATCAGCGAAAATTGATTGAATCTGTCGCCATTTTGTGTTATTGTCAATAAATAGCCGTGGTATGTTAGTGTGTCGCTGATTGGTCAATGCGAACTGCCGTATATACAACATTAAAAATCAGGCAACTTCAAAATCGCTTTGAAGTTTGTTTTAGGTGAAGTTGCTCATCAGAAAGCGACTTCTTCGCTTAAGTCACCCCCCTAGCTCAAGTTCTGAAAAGATGATATAAAAGCATTGTCTTTGTATTTAATGTATGTATTTGATAATTGATTAGTTTTTTTAAATGAAAAATAATTTTACTTGCCTGTTTATGAATTCAGGTGTCAAGTCCTTGTTTGATTCAGGAAAATTTTCATATGTTCTCAAGCTTTATTAGTAAATAGATTTAGGGGCCTCAACAAATCCACTCACCCACTCACATTTGTGAGTGAAAGTTTGGGTTGAGTGAGAAAATAGTTGATCAAACCTGCCCAATAACGCAAGTAAGCTTCTCCAATCCAAATGATGATTCTCTTATCATTTATAGATGAAGTTCTGTAAAACAATCAAACTGTAGACGCTATTTCAGTCGTAATAACTGTGAAACGGAAACCTAAAATCAACCTCATAGCCAAGTATTAAACATTACCGAATGCATATATATATGATGATTCCCTTAACGCCTCTCCCTTTAGTAATGACAGCAGCCTTAGACAATGTTTTATACATACACATTTGGAAATGTTTTTATATAGTTTATACTTAGCCATAAGGTAGAGTGTGTTAGAATTTGAATGAAATAAGTATACATGAAGGGACACTTTGTTGAAAATTAAATATTAAAAGTGTAAGAAGTATTTATATAAACAATATGCAGGCATCAATGAATTTCAAGCCTGAAATGTATTTGATATAAACTGGTAGATAGTAATTTTGAGTCAGTTGTTCTTGATATTTTTGTCTGTCAAAATGCAGGGCAAGTACTTTTCGTGAAGGGGAAGTAAATTAGTGGGGCTCACTCTTATCTTTCATTTATGTCAAACTCATATGGCTATGACTGCACTGAACTGCTCTGGGATAGGGCGTAAGTGGTTCGATTGCTATACTGTCCTAGGAAAGAAGGAGAAATTATAATAGTCTGAAGTTGCTATGAATATCTCGCCCTGACCAAACAAATAACAATAAAATTTGATCTTAATTCATTTTCAGTAATTATCCCCCGCCGATGGAATCGGGAGGGGGATATAGTTTTGGCGTTGTCCGTCCGTCCGTCCGTCCGTCCATCCGTCCGTCCGAATTTCGTTTCCGGAGTAGTTCTCTGCAACTAATGGTTGGAATTCAACGAAACTTTATGGGAATGTTGATCAGCATGTGAAGTTGTGCACCTGGGTATTTTCGTCTGGATATTTTTAGTATTTTTAGAGTTATTGCCCTTGACTTAGTAAAACGTCTGAATTTCGTTTCCGGAGTAGTTCTCTGCAACTAATGGTTGGAATTCAACGAAACTTTATGGGAATGTTTATCAGCATGTGAAGTTGTGCACCTGGGTATTTTCTTCTGGATATTTTTAGTATTTTTAGAGGTATTGCCCTTGACTTAGTAAAATTTTGTAATTTTCAACTTGTGTCGCATGTAACTCTAAAAGTATTTGACCTAGAGTCATGAAACTTTACAGGAATGTTGATCAGTATGTGTAGTTGTGTACCTGGGTATTTTCATCTGGATATTTTTAGCATTTTTAGAGTTATTGCCCTTGACTTAGTAAAATTTTGTAATTTTCAACTTGTGTCGCATGTAACTCAAAAAGTGTTTGACCTAGAGTCATGAAACTTTACAGGAATGTTGATCAGTATGTGTAGTTGTGCACCTGGGTATTTTCGTCCGGATATTTTTACTATTTTTAGCTCGACTATTCGATAAGAATAAGTAGAGCTATTGCAGTCACCCGAGCGTCGGCGTCGGCGTCGGCGTAACCACTTATGTTAAAGTTTTTGTAATAGTTCAAATATTTTCAAAGTCCATTGACATATGGCTTTGAAACTTTGCACACTTGTTCACCATCATGACCCCAACCTGTAGACAGGAGGAGGTAACTCTATCAAGCATTTTGACAGAATTATGCCCCTTTTTCGACTTAGAATTTACGTTAAAGTTTTTGTAATAGTTCAAATATTTTCAAAGTCCATTGACATATGGCTTTGAAACTTTGCACACTTGTTCACCATCATGACCCCAACCTGTAGACAGGAGGAGGTAACTCTATCAAGCATTTTGACAGAATTATGCCCCTTTTTCGACTTAGAATTTACGTTAAAGTTTTTGTGATAGTTCAAATATTTTCGAAGTCCATTGACATATGGCTTTGAAACTTTGCACACTTGTTTACCATCATGACCCCAACCTGTAGACAGGAGGAGGTAACTCTATCAAGTATTTTGACAGAATTATGCCCCTTTTTAGCTCGACTATTCGATAAGAATAAGTAGAGCTATTGCAGTCACCCGAGCGTCGGCGTCGGCGTAACCACTTATGTTAAAGTTTTTGTAATAGTTCAAATATTTTCAAAGTCCATTCGATGACTCAGCGCAATACTGGTCTAAGTGACATTTTTACCAAAAATCACTTTTTTACATATTTTGATAATGTAAGGTCAAATACACATTCTGTGAAAAGTTTAGGGTAATTTATGCTTTTTTTGCCTTTTTTATTTACATTAAAAATAAAAGACTATCTCAGGTAGTTCAATTCCGTCAGTGCAATATAGGTCTAACTTGAGTTGGTCTCTTATTGCTATGTCAAATATATCACATTTCCTCAAAAATGCTTGAGTTAGACCTTAAAAGTTTCACTTCAGAATAATATGCATATCCCATTGAAATGTGTTATAAAGAATGTGAGAATTCATGAAAACACTAAAAATTATTTGCCTCCATCAGTGCTTTGTATTAATCGCAAAATATTAGTCAATTGCATTTCATGTACAAGTAACCTTGAAAAAAATGAATAATAATTTAGTGTCACAAACATTTATTTTGTCTTTAAAGTCATTACATCATACTCATCCTGTATTATTTGATAACATAAAGTGCAGTTGCAACTATCATTTTTGTACAATTTAGTAAAAGACAGTGTATGTTTCTCTTGCACACATTTAAAATGGAAAATAACACGTGTTACACTAGTGGATTCATAACCTCTGATCCCCTCTAAAAATTCATTTTTTTTAGTTTGACCTTTGTTTAATCATATGCTGAGATTTCCTTATTCTTAGTTTTACACTTTGTTTCATATTTATAATTATGTGTTCTGTGTAAGATCATGTAAGGGGATAGACTGTACATTGTTTCACTGCCAAATCAAACTTAGCCTGTAGCACAATGAACAATTTCAGGGTTATTTTGGGGCGTTCTTAGGCTTTTATTTTTAAATTTTGTATCTACTACTGTATCACTCTCTTTAATCAAGTAAAGTTATACGTAAACTTTACACTATGAACTCCAGCAATACAATTGCAATATAGCGTCAACATGTGCAAATCACACTCTTCACAATACTTATATTATGCTGTGATCTCACCGCCAATCAGATCAACTCGATCAAGCGATCGGGTACCAGTCTAGCTCGGTCTGCATGCGTGATCGGGAGTGGTTGGGGCGGTTTAGCTTGGTC